CTCTGGCGATTTTCTCTCTCTCTCTCTCTCTCTCTCTCTCTCTCTCTCTCTCTCTCTCTGCACAAACACAAAGACCTCTTAGCAAAGGTATTCGTAGTCGACTTTGTGGTCACCAGGATCAATGGCACGGATAAACATTAATTATTATTAAAATAATCCTGGCCTGTCCCTGCTCTCTTGGCCGCATAGCAGGTTTATAATTGTATGGCTGTGGTCCGTTATATGAGTATGAATAAACATTTACAATTTCCTCAGCGCCCGAACTGTCATTGCGATCCATTGTTTTCATATTGTTGAAATTGACCGCACTCCCTCTCGTTACATCACTTCCGGTTTTGGCGGTTTTTAGATGCGGAAGTAAAATTTTCTCACAAAAACGACTCCAGAAGCCTCGAGTAGCATATTTATACGTATATTTTAAACTAAATCTAGTCACTATTGGCCGATAATCACGTTGGGATGATTGATCGGCGGTCTCTAACAAGGCAGATCTCAAAAAAACGATCTCAAGCTGATGATGTTGCCGTGAGAGGTTTGGCACGACATGCAGCATCACCGTCTCTGTCCAGCGTGGGTGAAATTATTATAATGCTGAAGGTGAGGTACTCACCTTCATATTTCTTCATCAAATAACTTATAAAGTAATTTGAAAACCTTGTGTGAGACGTAATTTCACAAACAGCGTGAGTGAATCACCGCATGCGCTCTCTCTTTCTCTCTCAAAATACGCAAATGTCTTCAAATCACCACACATCGCATCTGCACTGTAAGCGAGCTGCTCGCTGTACAGTTGACACGGGAATTGTCACTTGCACAATTGAGGCAGTGTCACATCGTCACTAAAGTTTATAAATTGCATTACTTTTTAATTCTTGCCAGTGTTTAACCATTCAGCGCTCGGACGCTCTCCTGGAGACTGAGCTCATGCACACTCATAACACGCATAATGCCAGGTTCACATTACTCTGTTTGCAGTGCGTATGCGGTGTGTATTTTTTCCATGCTCATGTTAACGGATTAATAAAGCGTTCACCCTGCACACGGTTGCTGTCCGGCAGTGCGCTCCAGTAGCGGTGCGTCTTCAGCAGTGCAGAGATCGTTTCCGCACTGAGTCTATGTTTGCTGCGCTGCAAGCGCTGAATTAAAGTAACAGTGCATTGTTTGCAGTAAATATGAACATGGATTTAGAGGTCGACGGATAGTGGATTTTGCCGATACCGATAGCTAGGTTGAACCACACTGGCTGATACCAATTTATTAACCGATAGTTTTAAAATTGATACTGAACAAAAACTAAAATAGTGCTTTATTAACAAAAACAGTACTGAACCATACTAGTAGTAGTAGTAGTAGAAAAAAAAAATTATAATAGTAATAGTAAATGTTGAAATTAACGCACTCTAACAAGGAACAATACTTACACAGCTTTCATTAATCTTAATGCTACAAATGGACTCTTATTTTAAAGTGTTACCATTTAATTTCAACTGTCATGCTTAAAGATGCACATCTTTAAATATATACACAAAGGCTATAGCATTAAAATTATATACATATGGATATTGTATGTATACTCTCACACTTTAACTGCTTCTATTCTTGAACACTAAAAGAAGGCTTTAAAAAGATCGGTATCGGTGATCGGTATGGGCAGATACTGCTTTCTGTGATCAGCGATTGGTGATCGGCCTCAAAAATTCTGATCAGAGCACCCCTATTTGCAGTTTCCTCAGTGTCGGTACTGTCATTGTGGTCCATTGTTTTTTTTATTGTTTAAATTGACCGCACTCCCTCCCGTTACGTCACTTCCGGTTTTGGCATTTTTCAGCTGCAGAAGTAAAATTTTCTCACAAATCAACTCCAGAAGCCTCAAGTAGCGTATTTATAAGTAGATTTGAAAGATTTTAAATCTAGTTCCTACATTATTTTTCTATACATTGACTCACTGTTGTGTCTAACCTGCAATATGCACTTTAACCACTACACAACTTTAAACCAATGCTCTTGCACCCACAAACCAATTAACTCTTCTTTGAATTTCACCTGTTTATTATATGAGTCTTATTATATAGCCCAGTAAACAGCACAAGCACTCTTGACACAGCAATCTATGGAGTTACTTTTGTGTCTTTTTATGCAATCAAACATAATTGGTTTGGGAGCAGAATTAATAATAAAAATAAAGGTAGAAATATGAAAATAGAAAGTGTTCTTTTAAGGTTGTTTTTAATTACAAAAATTATACATTTAAACATTTAAGTACTGCAACAATTATTTTGACAATTGTTTCATCTAATGAATATTAGAACAATTAATCAACTAATTGTTGATTATTTCACTGATTAATCAGTAGGCTTTGATCGATTATTCAGGTTTTGCAATTTGTTAAAATATTAGATATACATATTCATATACATTTAGAGCTGCTTTATAACAGAAAATTAAGTTGTAATTCTAACTGAAAGTGACGCTGTTTAATACTGTAAAGCTGCTTGCTTTAAATCAATCTATTGCATAAAGTATTATACACATAAATGTGACAACTTATTTTACCCCTAACCAGAGAACGAAAAAGCAAAAAAACGTTGCCTCGAGTATATTGGGGACTTTACACATGACCGATTTTTTGTTTGTAGCTTTGTAAAACTTTCCCGCATTCTACGGCTTCGTTTTCACCTCTCATAAGTGTGTCTTCTATTGGATTGCGTGTGGGAGGGCTGAATTACAGTCTTGTGCTATAGCGCCACACTGATCAAACCTCGTTATTGCAGGCTCTTACATTAGGCCATATGATATCAAATGACTATTAGATGACAAAAATGTTTGTTCACAGTTTTTTTTTATTGTCAACTAATCATTTCAGCCCTAGTACTGAGTAATATTATCAACATGGACTTACAACATGTTAGCAGTAGGGCTTGGTAAATGCATAATTTCTGTTAGTATCACTACAGTAAGTACATGTAACATGTAACAAGGATGCTGTGAAATAAAGTGTTGCCCAAACCACTTTGCAATGCAAGCACATCTTTATATGTCTTAATGCAGTTTAGCATACACACAGTGTGTTCTGTTTTGCTGTCATTTTGCAGATCTTGCTCTCGAGTTCAATCTCAGTGGGCTGTCTGTGCACTAGAATGAAAGTCCTGTTCATGGTGGCCCGTATTGTTGTTTAAATTCACTGCCATGACATACTTATTTAATCTTGACCAACTGTAAAGCAGAAGAAGGATTCAGGAATCTATAACTTTGATATTTGTCCACTGTTCATGATTTTTTTTTTTCAACTGTTACAATAATATCATAATTTCTGTCAGGAGTACAAATCAAACATGCACAATCAAACCACATACGTTCTCTGTCATGTTTAAGGACATGTTCAATCTATTATAGGAGTTTAATACACAGTCAAATGGTCCAATGAAATCCCCATTTTGAACATAAGAAAAATGTTAAAACTTTAGATTCTTTAGGTCATTACACTACGTATAAATCCCCCAGGTAAAATACATTATAATAAATACAATACATATATTTAAATTAGGGCTGCACGATATAGCGTTTCAGCATCGAAATCACGATGTGCGCACCCGCGATAGTCACATCGCAGGATGTGCGATGTTTCGTATACTGATCGTTATATTTATACTGATTGTTTTCTTTGCTCACACACAGACACGGTGTCTAACCGGACGCGACAGCTGTACAGAGATACCCATTTTAAATACTTTTAGTAGCAGAGCTACTGCAAGGGATTTTCGGTGCTGGAAATCCGTTTATCCTTTGTTGAAACTTCCGCGTCGTCGTGGAGAGCGCAGGTCACGGTCGCTTAGCAACGGCAGATGCCACGAAAGCGCAGGCTCCCGAGCTCTTTGGAAAGAAGGAGAAAGCGGCGCGACTGGCGTTTTCCACGCGTTTTTAGGCGCGACCCAAAGTCTGTCTACACTGGATGCGACAAAGCGACCGTTGCCAGTCATTTGAACTTTGTGTCATACGTGGTATTTGTCGTGCCGCGTCGCATCAGTGTAGACAGCATCACTGATTATATGGGTCCATTGTATTTTGTCGTGCTAGACGCGGTGAGAGCCACGCAGATGCACGTGAACACTGAATTCTGTTCACTTCTGCATCTATTTGTGCCTGAAATACTGTGCTCTGCAATTAACCTTGTAAACACGGATGCTTATGGCATAGGTGAAGGGAAACACTTGAGAAAGAAAATGGATGTGTAACAGTATATTGTTTTACAGCAGTTTAATGTTCCTGAGGCTTTCTGTGTTATGAATGTTAATCAAACAACAAAACACAAAGAAAAATCACTTTTGTAGCTTTAACACAGATTTATTAGATTTAATTTATACAGTGAAAACTATGCAGTGTTATTTTACATTTGATTATTCAATTTCTGTACTTGAATACCGTTAGACTTACCTGAAAAATATAAAGCACTGCTTATTTCATTTGTATCTTTGTTCTGTTATATTTATCTATGCTTGTAATTTGTTTATTTCCTATGCTGATTTACTCGCCTACAAAATCACCCCAATCGTTGATTTTTTTCCCCCCCCAAATAAACTATTCAAGTCATGTGGTGATTTTTTTTCATATCGCAATATATATATAGCAGAAAAATATAATATAGCAATGTGAGTTTTTTCCAATATCGTGCAGCCCTAATATAAATACATTTTACTGTTTAGATTTTTATAATGCATTATCTTCTTATCGATCCACCAGTTCACATTTACAGCTCTGTCTGTTTGCAGGGTAAAAACATGGGTCGATTTTCACATTGGTCTAAACAAAAACAACCCCAATACTGTGTTCCTCCAATACCGGAGGCTGCAGTTCTAGGACCGCATTTCTACTAGGACCCTATGTTTTTGTGACAGTGCCATCTAGCCAATTCTGTTCGAACAAAGGAGACCTGATTCAAACCTCAAACAAACAGATGCAAAGACTAGATCCATGGAAACTATTAATTTCTTTATCTTTCCATCTTATTTTTGATGTAAGAGCTGGCTGGAACTTGAGTGTGTGAGACGATGTCTCCATTTAGCCTATTTAGGTGTGCAAAACAGTTAATTGTGCTGCTGGATGTTGTAAACTAGTATTTGTATTCAAATTATTTTAAATGTATTAATGTACTAATAAACACACTAATTTGTACCGCAATTGTTTTACCGTTTACTCCACTTTAAGTGGGTTACACATCAGACGTGAAGTGCACTGCGGCTAATGAACAAGTCTCGCAAAGACACAAGTCTTTCTTTCTAAGAAAACAGAATTTAAAACCTAAAAACTATATATATGTATGTATGTGTGTGTTTGTTTGTATGTATGTGTGTATATGTATATGTGTGTATACTACATAATTCCTTAAAAATAATAATATACAGAATTGAATACCAAGTGCTATAAAATAGTATGAGCTGCTAATATATACATACAAAATTTTATTTAAACAAAACAAAACTTATAGGGTCCTAGAAATGCGGTCTGCAGAAACTGCAGCCTCCAGTATTGTAGGAATACACTACTCCAATAAAACAGGCTGATTGAAAATGCATTCATTCTCTGCCAAACACTTTTGCACTTTTGGAATGGCAGAAATAGAACTGTTTCCCTGGTAACAGCAGAACACAAAGCAGCGCAGCACCGGACTCTGAAACGCGCAGCGCTCGTGTTTATTTAATGAAATCACAGCCTTTTGAAGTTTAATCGTCACATTAAGCCATATCCCAATTCTGGTCTTTCCGTCCCCAAATTTAAAACCTCCTGAAATCATATTTAAGACTTTCTTGTACAATTTAAGACTTTTTATGGCCTTAAATTTGATACAACTAAATTTAAGACTTTTTAAGACCTCGCGGAAACCCTGTGAGGTTATGCTTACATAGTGCAAAAGTACACAATGCAAAGATCAGACTAATTGCTAACTGAAGTCATTTTCAGTTATTTTCATTATGAGTTAGTCATTGCAAACCTAATCATCTCTTAGACACGAAGACAAGTATTTCTTTCCACTGGTGGTGTTCATGTGTGTGTGTGTGTTTTGCCAGGCGTTTCTGGGCCCTGAGAACCCAGAGGAGCCATATCTGGATGGTATCAACTATAATTGTGTAGCCCCAGGCAAACGTTTCAGGCCCATGGACAACTTGTCTGGAGGAGAAAAGACTGTGGCAGCTCTAGCCTTACTGTTTGCCATTCACAGGTATGTACAGCACATATTTACCCTCACGTGAACTCACATCCTTCATCAGGCAGTACCTGACAAAATATCTTCACCTCTACAGCTATAAGCCTGCTCCCTTCTTTGTGCTGGATGAGATTGATGCAGCCCTGGACAATACCAACATTGGCAAGGTTTGTTTTTCACCAGGGTAACTGCTTAAAATAGTCACACACACACAGTCATTGAGGTGTATATTTTTGTCATATATTGCAACTGCAATATGATGAACATTTAACATCATCTATTGCTTCTGCTTAGATATCAAGGCAAAAAAACAAAAACAAATAGCACATCAAAATCCTTAAAATGTCTAAATCTTAAAGTTGTAGAGCAGTGGTCACCAACCTTTTTAGGCCCAAGATCCCTGACCTCGGCCTTTATGAAAGACAAGATCTACCTATTGAAGAATTGATAGAAAAAGACATCCTAGATTGTACTTCAAATTTGAGGCCTTTTACTTAGTATTTTAATTAGTGATGCGCCGATCATAGCTGATTCAGAATTCAGATTTTCTTTTCTTTCTTTCTTTTTTTTTTTAACTAGCAAATTGGATACTGATACTGATTTTTAAGCAAATTTATTTATTGGCTATTTGCTTTATAACAAACAAACTGGCTTTAAATAAAAATATCTAGCCATTTGAAATTAGAGGCAACCACTGCATTTTAATCATGATCTGCACGGGCAGTTGTTTTTGATTTGATTTAGATTAATGTCAGGATTTAAAACAAAAACAGAATGGTCTGACTTTAGGTATTATTTATTTATTTGCTACATAAAACAAATGCACGAAACAAAAACAGCAGGTCTGAATGAGACGCACTCTCTGACAGCAGGTGGCGCCTATGAACAGGGTTGCCAGGTTTTCGCAATAAAACTAGTCCAATCATGTTTCGAGGGGCTTCCCCTGTAAAAATCGCATTCCAGGGGTAAAATACACATTTTTCAGCGGAGATCTTCAAGTAAAATTCACATTCCGGGGACTAAATATCACGTTATTGGGGTCGCTTCAACCCGCAGACATGAACAACAACTCGCGGCAACAGTGTTAAGTAGCCCAATTCCGCGGGAAAACCGCGGACTTGGCAACACTGCTTATGAACCGACCGCACTATAGTGTTTCCTTGGTTACCGCTGTAAACAAAGCAGAGCTGCGCTTTATACGGAGAAGAAAATGCCATTGCCATCTAAAATTTTCTTAAGACGGTACCCTTCAGTGATACATTAATATAACCCCAGAAATGTAATGCATTTTTGTACTTATTTTACTGTTTTTTTCGGGATCTACTGGGACAGTGATAAAGATCTACCAGTCGATCGCGATCAACGGGTTGGCGACCACTGTTGTAGAGGAATAGTTGACCCAATAATAAAAATTGTAAATGTAAAAAAAAAAAACTCACCTTTGTTGTTCAGACTCGTGGGATTTAGTTTCTTCTGTAGAATTTGTTCAGGTCTTAAGAATTACATTTGATGTTAAAAATTGTGCAGCAACCCTTAAAAAGAACAAACTCTGACCAAGTGAGCTAAAAACAAACAATTCAATAAATAAAACAATTCAATAAAAGGAAAAAAAATTGAGAGAGACTGATAACTGTCAGAAGAGAGAACGATGTCAAATTTACCGTCCCTCCCATAGACGCTGCATTAGAAACACCCTCGCATTAGTGTTAACTGTTTTTTTGTAATTTGATGCAAAGGTGATATAATACAAAGAATAGTGTTATAAATGTAGATACAATTTAAAAAAATATACAAATATGAAAAACATTTGAGGATTTACGATGCTGATGACCGTTAAACGCGTCATCACATCCATGCGATAACTAATTACAATGGACCCTTTTCAGAAGACTGTCTTTATTTTACTTTTTAAGTGATGTTTATGTAGGCATTAATATGGAAAAAGATACCGTCTCTGTATGAGAAATGCAGCAGTCATGTAAGTAATAATAATGAGTATGTCAGTTATAAGATATAAAGTCGCAATCTCATGCCAAAAAACAAAGCAATACAAACGAGTGCTTGTGCTGTTTGTTAAAATGAGATTATTTTCTTTTCTTTTTTGTATTTTTTATAAACATAACTTTTGTATACTCTGCACATGTTATAAATTAAAATGAATCCGCATATTTCCATTTCCCAGAACAATTTATCATGACAGCAACAGAGTCGTTATACTTTAAAGGCATGCATGCATGTCAAATGACAAGCATTTTCATATTAATCCTTTATGGTGCAGAAACATTTATGCCTGATATGAGTTCGTGGATGACCCTTATTTCTATATTAAAACAGATCTGTAGACATAAAAACATTTGATTAAAAAAAGTACAAACTTGTTATAGATTTTATTGTATCTTATTATAACCCAAACATTAAAATATTGTCATCCTTCACTAACCCCTTATGTCACTTTTAACCTGTATAATTTTTGTGAAACACTGTGGAATCCTAAAAGACAGATGTTTTTTTTTTTGGTCCATAAAATGGAAGTCATTGGTAACTGGTTACCAGCATTCTTTAAGATATCTTATGATCCACAGAAGAGAGTAAGTCATACAGGTTTTGAATGACATGAGGGTGAGTAAATAATGACAGAATCTTCATGTTTGTGTGAACTTACCCTTTAAAGGTGACCTATTATGCAAAAATCACTTTTATAAGGTGTTTGAACTAGTTAGTTGTGAAGCCGCAGTGTGTGAAAACAACCAGCCTCTAATGGTAAAAATCCACCCAGTCATTTTTTTATAATCCCAATAAATCATAAACAGTCTCTCCAAACGAGCTATTCCAGATTTCTCCCATCATACTAGGGAAAGTCCCGTCCATTTGTGATGCTCTCTGCCCTATTAGCATAGACCCCGCCCTGAGTGAGAAGCAGCAGTCCGCCATTACTGATTTCTTGCTGTAGCTGCTGGAGACACAATGTCACTGCCAAAGAGCCATTAAAAGTGTCGTGTGTTGGGATGCACCAACAAACATAGGAGTCTCCATAGACCACTGAGGACACGGTGGTTCAATTTCATTTTCGAAGGGAATGTCCCGGAAAAAAAACGCTAAAGTCTGTTTTCACTGATGCTGCCTTCACGTGCTACCAGAATGATCGTAAATAGGAATGCGGTGGTTAAAAATTGCATATGAAAGCAATGTGAAGTTGACCGTTTGAATTTGTCGAGCTCATAATCACAAGGTGGGTCTTATAAAGTTTGTCATAGCACACGAAGGCACCATGAGACCAGCTATGTTGTCATCTTTATCACGCCGTGCTCCCCGTCTGTGTAATTCATTAATGCGCATTTATTATGCACAGTATAATCAAATGACTGACTTAAACGGAGTACGTTTTCTGTAAAGATAACAGGCTTGTACTAGTAGTGGAATGTTTATTTGCAAAGGCCAGCATTGGTATGCTGGAGCATGAGATCTTGAAGCGCCGCCCTCTTTTGAAAAGGGAGGCGGGAGCACCAGCTTATTTGCATTTAAAGGGACAAACACAAAAATGGCGCGTTTTGGCTCATACCCTAAAAGTGCCAATTTCAACAAGCTATAAAAAATGATCTGTGGGGTATTTTGAGCTGAAACTTCACATACACACTCTGGGTACATCAGAGACTTATTTTACATCTTGTAAAAAGGGGCATAACAGGTCACCTTTAAGGTATACGTGTAAAATGTACACACTAACGACCTTAAAGTTGAGATTAAAGATTTTGTTAATTGCCAGCCTAAATTTCATGATAGTGATTGCTCTAATTACCATTAACCAAAGATAGAATCAAAGCTCCTGATTTTCATAACCTAAAAATTCTGAGGTGAAAGTGAGTGGTAAGCACACAGATTTATTCTGGCATACTGTCATAATAATAGAAATTTGTCCTGTGCATGTGTGTTGTGTAGGTTGCAAACTACATCAAGGATCAGTCAGTGCAGAACTTCCAGGCTATAGTGATCTCCCTCAAAGAAGAGTTTTACACTAAAGCAGACTCCCTGATCGGAGTCTATCCTGAGGTAAGATTCACACAAACATCATGTGTTCTTTACTATACTGCAAAATATTGTGGCATGACTTCAGATCAATTAAACAGCTTAGTGGTGGGCAATATGACAAAAAGTTTTAAAGGGGTCATATGATATTGCTACAAAGAACATTATTTTGTGTATTTGGTGTAATGAAATGTGTTTATGCGGTTTAAGGTTAAAAAAAAACATT